TGGTTCCAGCTGCTTGTTTATTTTTCTTTGGCGGAGCAGGTGTTGAAGTTGTAGGTGGGTTTCAGCTCAGAGCCGGCCACTCTGTTTCGTCCAGGTGAGGGGTTCTCCCCATTAGTCGTCTCATGGGATCCGCAGTGTGAGACTTTTGTTTCGGCTTGGCGCCCTGAGCGTTCCAGGGTGAGCTGCTTGGTCCGGGGCGTACGACCTCTCCGCTGGATTGAGGAAGAGTTGTTTCATTTCCACAGGTAACGTATGCTACCTTTTCGCCAAAGCCAAATTTTTGGAGAACCAAAGACAAATAGTTGCACTCATTTTGATCAAATGTCTGCTGAGCATCTAATGAAATAGCCGCAGAGGCAGGAAGGTTGGTCTGGTACATAACATGTAGGAGACCAACCTTCTCCAACCTTAGGTAACCCTAATACCTGTTAGGGTTGAAGCCAGTCTGGTCAGCTATGTGTTTATTTTAACGAGTAGCTAATACTTTGGCAACTATTTTTTTTTGGTCTCTGTTTAGTAAGCTTAAAGGACGGTATGAGGCAACATAGAGCAATTCCTGCCTTTTTTCAGGAGAAGACAGATATTAGCAACATGCAAACTCTGAGGAAATACTCCCTCCCTCACTGAAGAGTTTACCATACACAGAAGAAGAGGGGCAACCAGATCCAAATTACCTTTATAGAATTCTACTCCAAACCCATCTGGACCACAAGCTTTACCAGAAGATAATGAACGAATCGCAGATTTGATTTCTTCAATTGTAAAATCAGAATCCAAGACTGCCCTGACGGATTCATCCAGTACAAGTACATTTAAATTGTTTATCTTTAGTATCATAACTTGTAGCACTAGATTTGGAAGTGTACAAATTACTGTAATAATTGAAAAAGCATTATTTATGAGTTTTAGGGTCAGTTAACAGTTGGCCAGAGGGGGAAGACATTTTATGAATAGTTCTGCCAGTGTGCCTTTTACTTGTCTGGAGAGCAATCTATCAGGGTTGTCCCCCAGTTAAAAATGTTTTTGTTTAAGTTTGCGAATGTAATTACCAACTTGTTCCCCAAGCATGTGATTGTATTCAGATTTTGTCTTCAGGATAACACTGACTATATTTTCATCATTAGAATTCTAATAGCTGTCCTCCAAAACAGCCAATTTAGCCTGAATATCTGCAAGACGCTGTGATCCGGCCTTTGTGATTGAAGATTGATAAGAAATAATGTTACCCCTTAATACCACTTTAAATGACTCCCACACAACTGAGTCAGATACTTCTCCGTCATTAAAAAGGAGAAAATCGGAGATTTTGGCTGAAACATAGTCCTGAAATGATTGATCAGAATTGATGGGGGGGATAAATTTCCAATTAAACAACAGACCATAAAGATTAAAGTGGATCTGCAGTAAGAGAGGGGCGTCGTCTGAAATTAAGATGTTGATACCATTGAGCTGAATGTACGTGAAATTAATTCAGAATCAATTAAAAAGTGGTCAATTCTGATAAAACTACCATGGGTGTGGGGGGTGGGAGGGTATTTACGATCAGAAGGATGCTGAAGCCTCCAGATACCAACTAAATTTAATGACTTCATCAGATTATTTCGAACCGACACTGATTTCAAAGAAGAAGCAACTTTATTGGAGGACCTATCCAACAATGGATTGAGATAACAATTGAAGTCGCCTCCTATAATTATGTCCCTATTATTGCATTGTGCAACAATATCAAAAATCTTACAGAAAAAAACGGAGCAGTCACAATTCGGGGCATAAATATTGTTCGTTATTCTGCAATAGCCAGCCACGCCTTAATCTCACCACCGACTGACTACTGACCAGCTCTCTG